GGGATGGCCACACTGCAGTCCCTTCTCCATTCTCTTCCCAGGACCCATGCACACGTGCCTGGCATGATTTCTAAGCCACCAGTTCTGGGATTCGAACCACAGTAGGCCATGTGGGAGTCCAGCAACATAACTAGTAGCCCATCTGCTGGCACCCAAAATTCAGATATTTTAAGCAATTGAATCTGATCATTGGTTTTCCTAATAAGCATACTGCTAATTACTCTTAGCAGTGGATGTTTAAGTATATATAGTCCAAGGATAAAAATATTTGGGGGCTGTGATTAAGCATTTATTGAGCCACTGTCTTAAAGAGCTATATGAGCAACTACATTAACTAAGATAGCAAGTGAAATGCATACTTTATTATTTGTGTAGGTTTTAGGGATTTTTAAAAAATATTTTAGAATTTTGAACTCCCACATGGCCAACCACAATGTGAGTCCCAGTCCCTGCGGCTTGAAACTCACGCTGGGCGTGTGTATGTGTGTGCTCAAAATCCTGAGAGGATGCTAGAGGACGAAAGATTGCAGCATGGCCTTCCCCCCCCCAGGGGCGGGGGGAGGTGATTTCTTGCTTTCTATCTCTCTGTCTCTGGCAAGCACACGTGTCCTACAGCAAAAAACAAACAAACAAAAAAAAAACTTCCTTGAAAAAAATTAAGACTTTCAAGTATTGACAAATTGACTTATTCATTCAGGTTTTTAAACATTTCAATACAATATTTATTCTTCATATGTAATGTTCCTATTTGACTTAAACCCTAATTAGAATTAAGTGTACTAACAAACATATAGGTTAAAAATAGGATTTGTGAAATTTGCTAACAAAAGTATTTAAACATAGGGAGAATTAATTTCTTTTTTCTTTTTTTTTTTTGAGAGGGCGCGCACGTTCACCGGAAAGACAGAGAGAGACAGAAAGCAAGAAATCACCCCTTAGGGGAGTGGCCACACTGCAATCCCTTCTTCCCTTCTCCTCCATTCCCCTCTCTGGATCTTGGGCACGCACGCACAGGCGCCCAATGTGAGTTTAAGCCACCGAGTCTGGGACTCAATCCGTGGTTGACTGGTGGGAGTCCAGCAACATAGCCATTACACTAACTACTGGTCCCAAGGGAGAATTAATTTCAAATTAGAGTGACATTAAATAGATATTCTGCTGTTATTGGTACACTTGATGAATTTTACAGAAGCCAAGGAAAATTATGTTTTGTACTTCTAGTTAAATTGACATTTAGAAATGAGTTTTTGAACAATTAAATTACTGGGTTTTGAATATTATAAAAACTACACATATGTAAAGAATTACTGTTAAACAGTAAAATTCTTATATGCCTCTTAGATATACAACAGAATTTTCTCTTAAATCCTTCTAAATTTTGCATCTGCCAACATTGATTGAATACCTATGATGTACCCATCATTATGCTGAGCAGAGGGATACAAATGAAATATAGGATAGTCCAGGCGTTTAAGGAATTTATAGCTATATTGGGTAGCCAAGAGTTAATAAGCAAAAAATAAATAAATAATAGAAGAATTTGTAAAGGCTCTTTGAAAGTAAGATGTCTTTTACTTCAAGTACTTAGTATACTGATAGACCTTTAATAACGATTCATTGAAATCTCTACCATTTATAGTAGACTCAATAAAGTTTTGCCGAATGAAGACTGGCTCTGTAGCTCAGCCATAAAGCACTAGTCAGAGTAAGCTGTATCTCCCATGGTGAATCCCTGGTCCAGTTTGCCTGAAAAACACACCCAGTATGTGAAGGAGTAGAGGAAGGAGATCACCATGTGACCAAACTCTTGGGGGGGACGGGGGGGTGCCGATCTCCTCCAATCTCTTTCTCACTCTCACATGTGAGTGTTCTGTCATTAATAAAGAGGAAAAAAGCTTTTAAAGTTTACAAATAAAAAAAGTTCAGAAGCATGTGGCATGGTCTTATTAGTAGTGCAAGACAAGTGTGCTGAATGAGCATGGGAACACATCTGGGGGAGGTGGGACTGGCCTCTGCCATAGAGTAGGCAGGACGGAGGTGAGGGAAGTGTTAGCAAAGATACAGTCTGCAGTAGTCATGTTCCGTGCTTTGTGCCACATGGGCAGCTGTCTAAGCGAAGCACAATATTCCTGTTGAGAAATTATGAGACAGAGTTTTAAAGTACCTTGGGTCCACATATAGGAGATTATAGAATTTAAGCTCAATCACATTGACATTTCTTGTAGATTGTTTAAAAAGAGGAAAATAATAAAAATTTTCAAAACGGGTAATCTAGTCATAGTATTAGGGACAGATTTCCAGAGAAAATTTAAACTGGTTGCTTTTATTTTTTTGAAGCTACTGAGTAATACGATGAAAGCTATGAACTCTTGAAATATGCCCATATACACGTATATAAATAAGCGTATATATATTTATATAGATAGATATAGTTGGGATTTTGTTTTTTGTTTTTGTTTTTTTTAAGTTTCTGAGGTTCATGGTACCTTTCCCAAAGTATTTTTCAAAGGAAGACTCTTGGTGACAGGTTAAATGTAAAGAAGCCCTGTAGGATTTTGATTTGAGGAGCCTGGGTGATTAAGTGATGATGTCCTATAAAGCAGGGGGAGATTGGCAGAGTAGCATAAAATTACCAATTGTTCATGTCCACATTGACCGTGGCTTGGATTCCTGCTATTTCTCATTTGCTCCTTGGCTATCTTTCAGAAACCAAAGAAGTACCTCTGGTATAGATGGCCATGTATAGATTTTACTTCGTACAATTAGATTTATAAAGCTAAGTGAGACACTAGCAATCAAGTATATTTAAAGAGATGTTATAGTTGTTATGAAGTTTAAAATTCAGAGTTTCTCTTTTTCAGGTTTTAGGGCAATCTTGGCTGAACCTAAAAATAAAGCATCTGAATCCTCAGAACAAGATTATTATAGTAACATGAGGCAAGAGGCTTTGGGACATGAACCTAGGATAAATATGTTTCCATTTGGTAAGTAGGTTACCTTTACTATAAGAGCGTATATAGTATATGCAATCTAATTTGACTTTTTAAAAGTACTTTATCTCACTTAATGTATAAAAATGTTGTATGTAGTTGTTTGTTTTTATTTCCCTAAAAGGCTAGTCATGATTTCTATTTTTTAAATAATTACTTATTTAATTTTATTTATTTATTTTAATTTGACCAGACCCACATACAGAGAGAGAAAGTAAGCCACCAGGTCCAGGACTTGAACAATCAGCCACGTGGGAGTGTCCAGTGCCTTAACTACTATGCCCCATCTGCTGGCTCCTTATAGTTTCTAATGTTCTCTCTCTTTTTTCTTTTTTTTTGAGAGGTTTTTGCTATAGGGCACATGCGCTCGCCGGAAAAACAAGAGAGACAGAAAGCAAAACATCACCCCCGCCAAGGGGGATAGCCATGCCGCAGTCCCTTCTCTTCCATTCTCCTCCTGGGATTTCAGGCATACGCACACACGCCTGGCATGTGTTTAAGCCACCAGGTCCAAGACTCAAACCACAGTCAATTACATGGGAGTCCAGCGTCTTAGCCATTATGCCAACTGCTGGTCCCAATTTCTAATGTTCTTAATATTTAATAGTTGCTTTGTTTAATGCATTTATTTATTTTTAAGAAAAATTTTTGCTATAGGGCATGTGTGTTCACCAGAGAGACAGAGAGAAAGTGAGAAATCACTCCCCACGGAGTGGAGAAGGCCACGCTGCAGTCCCTTCTCCTCCATTCTCCTCTCAGGATTTTGGGCACACTCATACACTTGCCCAGCATGAGTTTCAAACCTCCGCGTCTGGTACTCAAACTTTGGTTAGACAAGTGGGAATCCAGAACATAACCATTACGCCATCTGCTGGTTCTGTATGTGTGTATGTATGTATGTATGTATGTATGTATGTATTTTTGCTATAGGAATGTGCCAGAGAGACAAAGAGAGACAGAAAATGAGAAATCACCCCTATAGGGGATGGCCATGCAGCCATCCCTTCTCCTCCATTCTCCTCTCAGGATTTTAGGCACATATACACTTATATCCAGTGTGAATTATAAGCCACCAGGTCCAGGACTTGAACCGTGGTCAGCTGTATGAAAGTCCACCGCCGTACCCACTATTCCACCTGCTGACCTCTGTTTAATGTATTTCTAATTATAGTTTTCTCTGAATAGTTATGCATTATCTACATATTGAATTATGTCATGGTTACTTTTTTGGTTGAGCTCCTGCCTTTATGCAGCTAACCAAAAAGTAAAAAAGATATGTAGAAAGAATCCTCCCAGTATGAGTCCTAAAAGTTACCTCAAAAACTACTACTACTTTAAAATTAGGGCTACAGAAAGGAAAGGAATGATAAAAATAGAGTCTAGAAAAATAGGAAAAGGAGTGATGAAGGATAGGCCTGTGAATTTTATTTGGCATAAACTTTCAGGTAATATCTATGCCATATTTTTCAGTTTTACATGCTATTTCCTGTGAAATTAAAACTATGTGTTTCTGGGACCAGCAGTTATCGTAATGGCTATGTCGCTGGACTCCCATGTAGTCGACCACGGTTTGCATCCTGGACCCAGTGGCTTAAAACTCACGCCAGGCATGTGTGTGTGCCCAAGATCCCAAGAGGAGAACAGAGGAGAAGGGGTTGCAGCTTAGCCATCCCCCATGGGAGGTTATTTCTCGCTTTCTGTGTCTCTTGTCTCTCTTCTGTCTGGCGAGTGCACACGCCCTATGGCAAAAACCTCTCAAAAAAATAAAAACAAAACTATGTGTTTCTGCATATATTTCCGTATTGAAGATAGGGAGGTGGGGAGAGTGTCTGTTTCCTTGTCATTGGTCTGTTCTGTTCATTGGTCTGTTCTGGTAGTACTGATACCAAAAACATTCTACAAAGTACAGTGCCTATGTTTACCGCAGTGAACTTTTTAATTTTCCAGTATTTAAAATGTTAAATTAATTCTTGAATATATAGAAATTTAAAGATTTTATTTGCTTTTTTTTAATGGTTGGAGAACAACAATCTGAATTTTCAAGTTTTGACAAGAATGACAGCAGAGGCCAGGAAGCTATCTCCAAACGCTTGTCAGTTGTATCAAGAGTCCCTTTCACTGAGGAGCAGCTGTTCAGTATTTTTGATATAATACCAGGATTGGAATATTGTGAAGTTCAACGAGATCCTTATTCAAATTATGGTAAAATATTGTCTATATGTTTTTTAAATATACTGCATTTTTTCAAAAATAGCTTTTTCCAATGGCAGTTTTATGTCAGATATTGTTTCTACAACAGGAGTTTTGTTTCCTTTTTTTCTGCTTTAGATTTTTTTTTTCCTAAGTTTATTTTTACTTACTTCTTCCATGAGAAGGAAGACAGAGAAAGGAAAAGATGGAGAAACACCACCAAACAGGGTCCTGGTGCCCTGATACTCCCCTAGTCCCAGGCATCCCCAGACCGTGGATACCGTGGACTCAGTGAGGTCTCTAGATGCAAACGTAAGACCCACCCATGTGGATCATCCTCACAGAGCAGTTTTCCCAGTGTACCATTGGCTGGCCCCCTACTTTAGACTTTAAAATACAATAATTCCTTAGTAAACAAATTGCTAGGAATATAAATCCTTTATACACAACCATACCTTAAAGAAGTATTTTTACTCCCACACAAAAGAGATTATCTCTATTTCTAATTGTATAGCAAATATCTCAGAATAAGATTTCTGTCTATATTTTTGTTTAAGTTTATCCTTCCGTGAGTGAAAGAGACGAGAGAGAACATTTCCAGAAGAGTCTCAATGCCATGATCCACTCCCAGCCTGTTCCTTAGCTGAAATCTCTGCAAAGGAATGTGAAAAATGTTAACTTCTGATTTAAGACCATCTGTTTTCCTACCTTTTGTTTTTCATACATACCACTTTTTCTCTCTATTGGTGTAACTAACCAAAATATATTTCTTCATATATTACTTTTCATCTGTTTTCCTACCTTTTGTTTTTCATACATACCACTTTTTCTCTTTACTGCTGTAACTAACCTACATATATTTCTTCATATATTACTTTTCATATATCACTTTCCATTTCATTGTCTACCCTGTATGATAGAAAACATTATAAAACTTGAAAGTAGATTTCAAAGACTAAAAATTTACATTTTTAAAGTATATTGGTATCACATAATTAAATCCAGTGTCCTAAAAAAATTCATCAGACAGATATATGCTCACATCCCATTTTTCTTAAAATCTGTATTCATATTTTTACCAAATTCTGATTTACACTTCACTTTCTAGGAATACAGCAATCCAAATGTATGTGTAACAGAAGTTTATTTTCTGATGCATGTGATTCTGTATTTACTAGTTGTTCGACATTAGGGTTCCGTGTTGTTTCATTTTTGAGACACGTTAACATAGACTGCAGGCACTCAGTTGGCTTTCTTTTTCACCTCTCTGTTTTCTCTATTTTAGGTCATGGAGTGGTTCAATATTTTAATGTAGCATCAGCTATTTATGCAAAATACAAGTTACATGGATTTCAGTACCCTCCTGGGAATCGGATAGGTGTTTCCTTCATTGAGGATGGGAGTAATGCAACAGAGTAAGTACCTTCAACAAATGTCTAAAGCCAAGCTTTGAGTATACATGACTATGATTTTCAGAATAAAATTTCAGAACAGTTGACCTCTCAGGTGAGAAGGTCACACAAAACAACTTACTGTTAAGAGACTGAATATTTCTAGTTTTCTGTAAACTCTCAGTTGTTGTCTCCAGTCTCCTTAGAAAAATGGCAACACAGATGGTAGCTGCACAGCTTGCATCAATGGTGTGTAATAACCCAAATCAACAGCAATTTTTGGTAAGTAGGTAAGAATTAACCTTTTTTATACCTCAGTAGTATATAAAATAAATGTGACCTTTGTTTATTACCTGTATATGAAAATGTTGCGAGCTATAGTAGCAAATAACATAGGTACTATAATAATACACATCTGTTTTTAGCTATTGGCCAAAAATCCCTGAAGTGAAGCTATTCTTTTTCTCATTTTGTACCTAAATCTTCAACAGCAATTTGGAGGAAGTTCAGGATCACAGTTGCCTCAAATCCAGACCGATGTTGTACTTCCGTCATGCAAGAAAAAAGCCCCTCCTGAAACTCCGGTGAAAGAAAGACTTTTTATTGTGTTTAATCCTCATCCTTTACCTTTAGATGTATTAGAGGATATATTCTGGTAAGATTTCAATTCTACAAAGTTACGCTTTTTTAGCATAATTAATTTGCACTAGTAATTTAGCATTCTCACAGTTTCAAAACTTCCTCTACCTGAGACCTAGCAGGTAGAGATGATTTGTTCCATGGTTTTAAAAACTCCTTATTTGTATCATCTTTTTAAATTTAAGATAATTGCCTTTCCTTCTTTGTGAGTCACATATCCTAAGTCTTTATATAGAATTTCCTTTTATTTTGTTTTGAAGTCATAAAATATGTAGGGTTGTTTTGGAAAGTTGTATATGTAGAAAGAACAAGTTATTCGTCTCTTGATAGAAGGCATATCTATGTAGACTTGTTTACCCGAATTCTTTTCACCGGTCTTTTCCATTGTGATTGTAATTCAACCAACTAGTGTTTACAAAGCATCTTCTATATTTTAGCTTTCTATTGGATCTTTAGTCACGTTAAGTAAATGATTGCTGAAGTGTAGGGA